CCTTAGCCAATCAGTGATCACCATTCCTGGGAATGGGCCAATCGGAGCCAAGGACACCCGAAGACTTGCTCTGAAATTCAGGGAGTTGAGGCTCTTTTTCCCGAGAGATTGAACCTGAAGCTTTGCAGCCATCTTACCACCCCAAGGGAATTGTCTTTGGGAGGAAATGGGGACAAGAGACGGAGAGGGAGAAACTGGGTCTTGGGATGTTGTCAGAGCCTCTGAATCAAGCTGGGCTTAGAGCCACCTATACCCGCTGGACCTTTCACTTCTGATGGAGAGTAAATTCTCTTGAACCACCCTGGGTTGGGTTTTCTCCTTGCATCACGAAGAATCTGAACTGATACAAAGGGTGAGAAGAGGGGACCTCCCAGGTGGCTGACTTCTGAATTCTGGAATCATCTTCCAGGAAGTCATGGGGTGGCTTCCCTCGGTCCCAAGGTTGAGGGATGGGAGCCTGGATGCTCTGTGCCCCTGGCCCGCATATCCGAGGTGGCCCGGTGGCATCCCAAGGTCCGTAGGAGTAGATGAGAACCATCTGGACCTCTGGTTGAAGACTTAGGCCCTGGGGCAGGGCTGGGTCCCTGGAAAGTGGACCCTGAGCCCCAGGCCCAGGTCAGAGAGTGTTCAGGGCTTCTCAGGGGAGCATCAGGCCCTCACTGCATGACGCAAAAGGACCCCCAGGTTCTATGCGTCGTCAGAATAAGGGGTGGGGATGGGAACATTCCCAGACTTTTCCAAAGGGAGCAGTCATCACGGGGAGGAGACCCAGCCTCACCTTTCCCAGGAGCCCTTTGGGAAGGTAGCTGCAAACAGCTGGAGCAGGGATTACCGGGAAAGGAGCACAGGGATTGGGAAGCGCCCGGATGCTGTGGGAAGAGGGCAAGATGGAGTGCCCTGGGAGGGGTGCTGGGTGAGAATCGGAATGTTCCTGAGTGTTCTTTCATGACGGAGCCTTAGGGAAATGTTCCTGGCCACTCCTCTGACAGCTGGGGCAGTGGAATAGGTCGAATTGAGGTGTGGAACTGAGGAGTCCTAACTTTCTGTTGAATCTTGGAAGAATCACCCTTCATGTAGGGATGAAAGGGCCACCCTGGTCTTGCCTTGGGAAGAAAACTGGGTGCCCACCTGAATGAACGTGTGGCATCACAGACCCCCAAGGATTTGTGCTGAGAACTGGGGATCTTTGGTGGGGCTGGAGAGTCATCTGGAATCCACGGCCAGGGCCCAGGGAAAGCAGATGGCTGAAGAGGAGCCTGGTGTAGCTGGGAGGGGAGGGTGTCAACACAAGAGCAAAGGTGTTGGGAGGAGTCAGAGATGAGGGGGCATGAGACTGATAGAGCCCTCCTTGCCTCAGCTCTTCTGCACCCAGATTCCTCGTGCTCAGTCTTGTCCCCTGGCCTTCTGCACACCAGATGCCACAAAGCTAGGGAGGAATCTGCTTTGCATTATCAGAGGAGCTGCGTCCCCCAGGCATATGGTCAGCAGACCACTCAGCCAAGAGCATCATGGGGAATGTCTCCTGACCCCAGCTCTGGCCCAGCCCCTCGTTCGCCCAGCCCCTCGTTCCCCTGCAGCATGAGGCTACAAGCTCAGTGGCCCCCCCACACACACCCCTCCGCCTGCATGGAGAGGCTTTTCACATTGTTCCAAGCCTCATCTCGGCTTCATTTCGCTGGATGAAAGGAGGGAGGCACTAGGGAAAGAGAAGGGGCTCTGATGGGCCAGCGAAGATAAAGGGTCTTGCCCTCTAGCCTAGAGAATGATAGAGAAAAAGAGCAAAAGAGCCATTCTGCCAGCCTGAGCGAAGAGGAGAGAGGCCTTAGGGATGGGGGACAGGGGTAGAGGGGGTGGGGGAGGGGGAAGGGAATACAGGTCTCAGGTCCAAGGAGACGGAAAGAAGCAAGAGAGCCTCTCCCTGTCCTCTGAGCCCACTGGGGGCTCAGAATGAGTCCCTGCTCTGGGACGTGTGAAGCTCTGGAGCGGCCCGATGTGATAGCCGCCGCCACATGTGGCCCCTGAGCTCTTGCCATGGGGCTAGTCCAAACTGAGATGTGCTGTAAGAATAAAATATACTCTGAATTTTGAAGACTCAGTAGGACAAAAATAACATACTTCATTAATCTTAAAATATTAAGTAAGACTTCTTGAAGTAAAACTTTAGCTACCTTGGGCTAAATGAAATATATTAAGTTCATCTCATCTGCTTCTTTTTCATTTTGTAAAATGTGGCCACTAAAAACTTGAAAATCACATATGTCACTTGTATTCTGTTTCTATTGGACAGGGCTGCTTTGGAGCACTCCATTCATTTAGTCAACAAAGTTTTATTGGGTGCTAGCTCTATGCCAGTCAAGGTGCTTAGGATTAGAAAGTGAGCAAAACCAGACCCTGTCTCTGGTTTTCTGGAGTTTACAGTAATCAAATAATCACTCAGACGGGTGCCTAATTGCACAGGGAGATAAGCGGTCTAAAGAAAATGAGTGCAACGTGGTGTTCTCTGAACGTGGACTCGAGAAGCTTAATTTGGGTCCAGAGTATGGTGAGAGCTTCCCCAAGGTAGCACTGAACTGGGAGGTAACTTGGAAAAGAAGGGGAAAGAGTGTTCCAGACAGAAGGGACAGCATATGCCAAAGCCTCGTGGCTAGAGGGATCATCGGAGCTTGAGAAATTGTAGGATGGCTGGTCGGGCGGAGAACAGATTGACAAAGAGGGTGTCTGGAAGAGCTGGCAGGGGCCTCATGCAGCACTCAGAGGCCACATTAAAGATGGGGAGCTGGGGGAAGGGAGGGGGACATGGGGACATCTGCAATAATGTCAACAATAAAAATAAAGAAAAATGCCCTGGCTGGTGTGGCTCAGTGGATTGAGCGCCGGCCTGAGAACCAAAGGGTCACCAGTTTGACCCCCAGTCGGCACACATGCCTGGGTTGTGGGTCAGGTCCCCAGTGCGGGGCGCGTGAGAGGCAACCACACACATTGATGTGTCTCTCCCTCTCTTTCTCCCTCCCTTCCCCTCTGTCTAAAAATAAATAAGTAAAATCTTTAAAAAATAAATAAAGCAGAAAAAAAAGATGGGAAGGTCACAAAGCATTTTCATTAGCCCTCAGGGGGGAACAGGAGAAAAGGGGTGGAGGTTAAGCTGAAGAAGGGCAAACGGGTTTTCCACAGTTTGGTGGTGGGAGTGCAAATATCTGGTACAATGTCTTCAAGGTTTTCTGCCCCCCGAATCCACCCCCATCCGAGAGCCCTAAGCCACCTCTGTACCCCTCAGCCAATCCCGCGTGCTCTGAGCCAGTTTTAGAATGCCTTCTCTTCGCCATCCTCGTGGCCCCTTCTGGGCTTCGGGCCCCCGCGGACTCCACCTCCGCCCGTCCTGCTGCCCCCTCGCCCCACATACTGCAGCCAGAGCCAGTGCGCTCGACACTGGAAATCTGTCTGTGGAAACCCCCGCTCACCACCCTCAGAGGCTCCGCAGAGGCCTAAGGATGCCGTCAGATGCTTCAGCATGTCTCTTCGCAAGCCCTTCTCCGTCTGGCCCCGCTGACCTCGGCTCGCTTTCTGGGCTCTGGGCTCAGGAGCCTCCCCGGCCCTGTGTGCTCTGCTCTCTCAAGGGTCTTTGTTGAGCTGGTTTCTCTGCCAGGAACACTGTCCTCCCCGAGCTCGTTGATTCCACTCATCCCTAAGGACTCAGATTCAATGTCTCTGTTCTAAGAAACCTTCCCTAAGGCGTGGTAGGTGAGGGTCTGGACTGAGACCTCCCACTCACCCCTAGCATGGCACTGCACACCATCCAGGGCTTGTCTGCTATCTCCCCCTCAAGGACGTAAGATTGCTGAAGGCAGGGATTTGTGTCTCCCTCATTCACACAGGCAGCAACCGGCTCTCCTTCACCAAATCACAATGGGATTTCCTTAGGACAGGAATAGCACCTCCCTTGTCAGATTGGAAGGGGTCCTCGAGTCTGGGACTCTGTCTCCCATCAGATGGGAGGCTCCCTCGAGAAGGAGACCATCTCCCCATCACACCGTACACTGGGTGTTACCCAAGTCCCACCGTCATTTCTCCTACCTATGCGCACGGCCCACATACACCTTCCTCACAACCCTCACAGCCTGGGGCTGGAAGATGGAAGACAGCTGCCCCTCCAACTCATGCTTCACTCTTGGCAGGGGCTCCGCTGGCCCCTCCCACGATTTTGAGATCAGGAAGGCTTGTTTGCTTTTCTTTCCGGGAAGAGCAAACCTCCTGAGCTTTTCCCAACAACCACAAGCCAGCCCCAGCGGGGGACCTGGCCGAGGGATCAGCAGGGGCTGAGCAGCTCTGACCAGCTGCCTGGCCAGCCTAGAAGAAGGAAAGAGGCCTGGGGCCCGGAACCCTGCAGCCCAGGGTGCTCCCAGGCCTGGGCCAGGCAGGGCTCAAAGCCAGGCTGGCAGGAGCCAAGGTTGGGACCTGCCTGGGAGAGCCGCAAGGGAGGGGCCAGGTCAGGCCAGCCAGGCCTCCTCCTGGCCATCTGGAGCCAGGCCCTGTGCTTGTGCATGTGTTTGGGGCTGGGGGGAGGTGGTGGTGGTGGATTGTCTTCCAGGCCATGTGGGTGGCTGGGAGCCGCAGGGTTGTGACCTGGCCCTTCAAGCAAGCCTCTGGCTCCCCTGTGGTCACTTTCACTTCTGACATCTGGTCAAACTCACAGCTGGCCGGCTTCCTGCATGGCCATTTTCACCTTCCCTCTCCAAGGTCTGGGGGCAAAGGGCCCCCACTCCTTCCCTATCCCACATAAATTAACTCCATGGCTAGTACACGTGAATTTGCTGGATTTCTGTTAGAAGTTCCCCATGTGGTGTGTGCGTGTGCAGCAGGAAAACAGGACAGGAACTGCGTTGGAAATTCTACCTGGGTCCCTATGATGCATAGAAAACTCTGCCAACTCAAAACACGTGGATTTCCAGAAAATCACGGCACAAACTTTCTTTCTTTGCTATTTAATGTTCATCATTTATGTTTTATGTGTAAGTTTCAGGAGGGCCCAAGAAATGATTACACAGGATGCAAGGGGAAGGTGTCAGGGAGTCTGGAGCTCGCAGCCCCCTGCTAGGAGGCCAAAAGGGTTCCATCTCGGCCCAAAGGGAGGCAGGAGGGGCCCCAGAACCAAACACATGCTAAAACATACTTGCCACCCCCAACCCCCCTCCCTGACTGCTGGGGAGGAAAATAAATACACTCAGACTCTGTCCCACTCCCAGGTGCACAAGTGAGGGGACAGCAGGTGAGTTTCCTCCTCCCATCACAGACTGAAGTAAAAGAAATGCCATCTACATACAACGCTCCCAGTCCCTTACAGGGGGCTGGGAGAACCCTGGGCGGGGGAGGGGGTGGCTGTCAGTGCACACCCTGCTCTGGGCTCGTTCATGCTAAATAGACAGGGGAGCCACTCATTCCAACATCAAGCAAAACAGAACAGTCCGGGAGGGACCTCCAGGCCCCTTCCTGGCCCCAAGCTAGGGAAAAACTGTCCTTTGTAGGGTCCTCTAAACTTGGGACAAACCATCTAGGGGCTGGCTACAGTTTAACTCAATTCTTCCTTGCTCCTTTCCCACACTGGTCCACTTTTCTTCATTGCAACCTTCGGGGCCCAGCCGAACCCGTGGCTTCAGGGAAGGCGGGGATGTGGGGAACATTCCTCCATGCGCAGGCCCTTGGAAGACCGGCGCCAGCCCAAGCCTCAGCCGTCCTTGGCCTGCCAGACCCGGGGGCGAGGGAAGACAGCAAGCAGAGTTCAATTCCCTGTGATGCTTGTCTGGCAGCCGCCCCGGGCAGGATCCGGTCCCAGCCCAAGAGAAGGAACTTGTGGAGAAAAGATTTCTCATCCTGTGTGTGTGTGGATGTGTGTGTATCTGTGTTGCGGGCGGGGGGTCCTTAGCCCCTGACCCCCAGTACCGCCTGTGTTGGCGCTGGGTTGTTGCCAACACAGGGCAGGGACGGAGGGCACCTACAGACTGGGCCACATCACAGATGCCACACTGACACACCTGAGGGGGGACAGGAAGAAGGAAGCAGCACCCCTTTCCACAAACCCCCAAACCTGACCCGGGTCATGAGGGATCAATGGACCAGGCTTTGGGAAAAGCATCCCATCTCCATGGGGGTTGAACAGGCCTGGAGGTGGGGGAGGGTGGACCGGATTTGGCTGCAAGACATTTCCCAGAGGGTCACCTGGCTCATCTCTCCCAGCTCTTAAGAAAACCTGAGGCCTGTGCCCCTCGTTCAGAGAGGAGAAGGCCAGCCCACATTTGGCCGCCCGATCAGTGAGTGGCTTTGGGCCAGTCACTGCCTCTCCCTGGGCCTCAGTGTCCTGTATGTAAAACAAGGAGGGTGGACTAGACTTCAAACCAACTCCCTGCCGGCTCTGACAAGCATATGATTCTCTTCATCTTAGGCCAGAGGGGAGACGTGGTGGGGGCTGAAGGAGGGTTTAGGCCACGATGATGCTCCCTCATTCCCCAAGTTCACAGTGTAGAGTCCATGGCTCTGGTTCCTCAGTCTCTCTCTCTGAGTCTCTGGGGCCTTATCATCACCCCCAACACGATCCCGGTGTCAGCCCTCCAGGTATGGCACCTGCTGCGGTGGGAGGTGCTGGCCCATCTAGAAGTGTGGGGAGGAGGAGCAGAAGGCCAGGATGGTGAGGGGGCAGGGGGGACACAGTGGGAGAGGCAGCAGGGGCACTTCCGGTGCTGGAGAGGGAGTGTGGTCAGAAGCGATGGGGCCACAAGGGGCAACGACAGGGCTGTGGTTTAGGGGCCCGGGCGCCTCGGCCCTGCCCCAGAGAGCTCAGCTCTGATGCTGGCCCATGGGGATTGGCTGGAGCATCAGTCACTGGAGTCGGGGCAGGGCAGGGGCTCCGGGGTCCGCTCACACAGGGGACGTGGCAGTGGACTCGCTGCAAAGGCTCTCGACAATGTCGGCTCGCTGGATGCGGCGCAGGGCAGCCAGGAGGGCGTCGAGCGTAGCGCTGTCCTGGGCGGCCCAGCTGGCGAGCAGGGCCCGGACCGGGCAGGCCTCGTGGGTGAAGGAGTCTATGTGCTCAGGCTGGTAGCCCAGCTCGTCTGCCAGGTGCCGCCAGGTGTCCCCCGCAGAGCCGTTGAGCAGCTTCTCCACCTCCTCCCGCTTGGCCGGTGGCAGGCTGCTGTAGAGGCCTCCGTCCCCCTTGAGGGCTGCCAAGAACCCAGGGGATGTCAGACAGTATCCGCCAGGCCCCACCCCACCCCCAGTGTGTCTGGGCGTCTGAGAAGGGCTGAGACATTTCTCCTCCCAATCTGGGGAGGCCTCCAGGGCCTATGGCCCCCCAAGGATGGCTAAGATGAGGTCCCGGATTGGGGGCCAGGCTGTGGAGGGGCCAGGCAGGGACGCTGACTCCCATGCCCCCCGCCCCCCGCCCAGCCCCAGCACTCTTCCTACTCCCTAATGCCTTCCCCGCCCCCCAGCAATTAATCAAAGCAGAGGAGGAGACGGGAGTTTTAAGTCCCAGACTCAACTGCAGCAAGTGTCCTGGAGCTGGGTTATGGGCCACTAAAATTATGGGACATAATTAACTACTTGTTCCTTAAAAGTCCAGGGCAGGAGGCTAATTGCAGCCACTTGGGGGGAGTAATTAGCCCCAGGGGGCACAATTAGCTTGATGAGTCTGGATGCTCCAATTTGTCAAATCCTCCATTTCCCAGTCGCTCCACAGGAAAGTACCTCCCACCCCTCCCCTTCCCTCATCTTCTGTCCTACCCAGAGGCACGGTCACCAGCCTCTCTGGCAGTCCTTCCTACAGTCTAACCTTAATCACGCCTGATCACCCTGCCTCAATCCCCTTCCCCACCCTGCTGCTCACCCTGGCCCGCGGCCGTCTGTGTGTGGGGTTGCTGGTCATGTAGGCTCTGGCTGTCCACAGAGATGCCACTGTCGCTGTGGAGTTTTTCTCCTTCGGGTGGGGGGGTCTGGTTCACGGTCCGGCTGTTGGCTCCTTGCTTGTTCTGCTTGCAGCTGTTCCACCTGGAGCCAGAGCGTAGGCCCGGCCTCAGCGGGGAGGGGCCGCACCAGCCAAGTGGCCAAGGCGTCTGTGCTCCGCTGCGTAGGGGCCAGGGGCGTGGGAGGTACCCAGCTCTAACCCCAGCCCCCGTGCCTAAGGTTCTCCTTTCTCCACACAGCTGCCCCGACCTAGGCTGGAAGCACCGAGAGGACAGAGGCACCAGGGCTCGGTGCACACGGCACGTGCTCAGTAAATGTCCATGGAATGAATGACGCATAAATGACTGACTTTCTAGAATCCCGCTTCTCCCAGTACACCCTTATAAATTATTCACACATGTGTGCAGGACACATATAGTACAAGGACTTCCTCTACTATTATGAGCACTAAGAAAAAACTGAAAACAAACCAAATGTCCCTCAATAGGAGGCTGCTTAAATAAATTATGACCCATCCGTATTACTGAACGAGTGGTTATAGACAATCAGATAATCTGTATGTCCCAAAGGAAGCTCTCCTGAGGGAGATGAGTGAAGGAGTTGTAGAAATATGTAGAGTGTGATCCCACTAAAATATATATTTGCCTGTGTATTTACGTATAATGTATATTATGTAAAAAGTTTTATGTGCCTGTGTTTATAAATGCACAGAAAATGACTAGAACAGATCCAAACAGATTCTGATGATGAAAGAGGGAGGATTTGGGGAGAAAAAAGGGAGCTTTTGCCTTTTGCTTTACAAGACATTACTCTTGTTTGTATTCTCTCAAACAAGCATATATTACTTTGATTTTTTTAAAATATGAAAAATGCACTTAAACATTTGCCATCTGGGAGTTCTTGCACACCCTGGGTTTCTGGGTGTGGATGCCACGGCTTCCTGAGTGTTAGGTTGGAGGGAAGAGACATATGCATGTAGGGAGCCGTGTGTGCGTATGTGGGGTTCGGGGACTGAGGACAGAGGCAGCTGGTAAAGCATGCTTTCCATGTGCAGCTGCGGGCTGGGGAGCCCAAGGAGGGAGCAACATGAGAGTGGGGTGGTCCTGACCGGGACAGGACGGGGACAGTCACCCTCCCTACCTCCTGTTCACCTGCCATGCCCTGGTGTGGAGCAGCTAATGCTGAGAGGGGAAGAGCTTGGTTTGGGGTTGAGTTAAAAGAGCATGTGCACTTTCAGGTCAAGGTCGCAGTAAAGCCCACCTTGAGAGCAAAGGTCCCCTTCTCTCTCCCCCACCCCTTCTCTCACCTCTTGAAGGCGATGTAGGCCACGAGCCCCACAACCACGGCGGCCAGGATGGAGCAGTAGACGGGGATGAGGTTGTCCGTGGAGCCTCGGGTCACCACGGGCTGGGAGCTACCCATCACTGTAGTCGCCACATCGGCCATGGTGCTAGCCACAAGGTCTTGCTCTGGAGGCGCCTCGGGCTCCTGGGTGCTGGGGGACGTGCTGTCTGAGCCCTCAGGGGGAGTGGACCGCGTGATCCAGCGGCCAGGGATCTCTGGGAGGAAGGGTGACAGCGTTGAGCGCCCACACCCCTCAGGCCCCCCTTTATGATCTGACCCACCCCGCGCTTCTTCCTGAGCCCAGCCTGCTCCAGGTGCTCGTTGCCCAGGCGTTACATGGGTGGGGGAGGGCTGGACATGCGTACATGATGTCATGATGAGGGAGAAGAGCAAGAGCCTGGCAATCAGGAGACCTAAGTGCCCCTTGGCTGGGTCACTGACTTGCTGTGTGACTTTGGATCAGTCCCTTCAACTCTCAAGACCTCCATTTCCCTGTCCACAGAATGCGGATATTAAGAGAGATGCTCTCTAAGCCCCCTGCCATCTTGGGGGTAGCTGTGGTCCTAGGAATCTATGCTGCCTCCCCTGGAGGCCCAGAACCTGGCATGAAAGTGTGCACACGAAGAAGAGAAGGTAAGCCCGGGAAGCCTCTCGCTGGAAGCGCTCTAGGAAATGTTGTAACCTCTCTGGCCCCCGGTTGCTCCAATGGCTCCAGTTACCCATGTCTTAAGGAAGGATGAGGGTGCCCAGGTACCCTGCCCCACCCCACCTCCCCCAAGCTGGCACCCAGCCTCCTTTCCAGTCTCTGCTGTCTCATCTCTAGGCTTGGGCAGGGCGAGGGTGCCATGTAGGGTTGCTTCCCTCCCGCCAGTCCTTGGACAGTGCCTACCTAGCCCGTTTCCTGCCCCGCATGGCCCTCACTCCATCTGATCTTGCCACCGAGAGAAGAGAGTGTCAAGTAGCTGTACCCTCCTTGGGGAGGAAGCAGGCTGTTGGTGGAGAGAGGGCCTCTGGAGCAGGCACTGCCTAGCACCTCAGGGGGCAGGAGACTGTCCCTTGCCACCCACCTAGGCCCTCTCATGCCAGCCAGGCACTGCCAGCCTCCCTGGCAGGGCACCTGGCTACGTCCTGGCCCCAGTGGGTGGGATTTTCCATTCTGCCACCCAGGTGGGGGCAGTTCCTAGGGTTGTGGGCTCTGGATGGCCTGAGGGTACCTGTCCGGGCAAAGCTGCTTTCCCCACCTGTCCTCACTTCCCACACCCGGGGCTGGGAGGGAAGGCAGAGAGGACATGCCAATGGGATAATGGGGAAGGCATTTTGCTCTTTAGCTCAGCCCCACCCATCTCCCAGTTCGCCCACCCAAGTTGGAGTCAAAGGTGCCCACTGGTCTCTGGGCCTCCTTGGTTCAAGACTAAGAAGCTTCAAAGGGCCTGGTTTTCAGCACCTTCTGAGGGGTAAGGGTCCCAGATGTGAATCTGGAATCCATTTGTCTGGCACTGGGGAGGGGGCTGCCATCCGCTGCCCCATCCCACCTCCCAGCATCTCAGTCCTGGGAGGGGGTTGAGAGGGTGGGGTGGGAAGTGGAGGAGACAGAGCCCTGTCTTTGGCAGCCCCCGATGGGGCGTTAAGACTGGGGAGGGTCTGCTCTTGCCCCGTTAGGAAATGGGGCCAGAGGGTGGGGCAGCCTGAGCCCTGAGGCTGAAGGTATGGCAGTGAATCAGGCCAGGACAGAGACTCCAGAGCAATGGGAAGGGCTGAGAGACGGTGATAAGGGACAGGCCAGGCTGAAGACAGCGCTGTCCGGGGCACTGCCCCCGCATTTCTCCAATACCCTCTGATGGGGGCTGGGGGGATGAGATCCAGATGTGGCCGTGTCCACTAGCATTCCAACCCGCTAAGCCCTTGGCAGGTTCTGACAGCCGTTTCCGGAATGGGAGCTGTCAGACCCGGGGGTGGAAAGAGAGACCGGGTTATCCCTCCTAAATCCAAATTTCACTAGGGCAAAGGGGAGGGCCTGCGCTTCTGCCCCAAGGGCGGGTGAGTCACCATGTCGACACCTGAAATGTATGTGCAAGATAGTAGAACGCACTGGAGGGGAAGGGGGCACCAAACCCTGAGTCAAATCCAGTTTCCTGAAATGTGTCCTGTGCCCCAGAGCTGACACTTAACCCTTCAGAGGCCGGAGTGAAGAGGGACAGAGGGGCGAGGATAAACAGAGCCCTTGGGGTACCTCCGCCTTTGGGGTGACTGGGAAAGCGGGTTGCTATCTGGGAGAAATCTGTGACTACCCCAGTACCGCACAGCCCACCCCTCCTCCAGCGCCACCTTTCTTTGCTTTAACTGCGCCCCTGACTAAGTCTCCCCACCAACTCGTCTGAACTTGCTCATGGAGCTGTGCTGCGTGCCTGCCTGTTGCCAGCTGCTGAAACTCCCTCCCTGCTCTGCCCTGTGCCTGGCGCCACTTGCTTGTCTCCTAGCCCCGGGCAGTCGCCACCAGAACGGCGATGTTCTGTACCCCAGTCCTCCCACCCCGCACCCCAAGACAGAAAGCTGCACACGCACACCTGGCCACAGCCCAGCTTAACAGCCCTCTGCACCTGAGCTCCCTGAGCCAGAAAGGGTGGGCGGTGGCAGGCACGGCTGTGTGGGAGCCAGGGTCAGGCTGGAGGTGGCTGACTGAAGGCAGAGGCTGTGCTGCCTCCACCAGAATGAGGGATTTCCTGGAAACTGAGTGCTGGGACCTTCTCTCTCATCAGACTGAGGCATTGAACCTGGGGCTCCCTAAAGGAGGCGCTGCGTTGCCTGCTCGGAGTGAGGGTATCCTGCGGGTTAGGGAAATAGCTAAATGGGCACCCAGCCACAGGGCGATAGAAAGTAAAGGCATCGTCCACCTCTCCCTGCGGTGGGAAAGCGCACCCATCTCCCCGGGACAGATGTCACCAACAAAGACCAAAACTGTTCTTCTCTGATGCCATGGTGCTTGCTCCCCCCATCCCAGGAATCACGCCGTCTCCTTCGGACCTGTGCCTGGCTAAGGTGGGCACACCCAACTCCCATACACCCGCCGGGGAAGCCAGCGGAGGCCTCCACATGCGCCCTGCCTCTTCATCCTTGGGCTCCTGCCGCTCCTCTTCTTACTCCTCCCCAAAAGCCCTTCCCCCATGACTTCCTTAGCGTCCCCTGGGTCCAACATCATCCTTCACTAAACTGTGAAATGACTGTTGATCCCACACCCAGATACCACAAGTTGAAAACAGACCAGCCACCTTCTCTAACCCACAACAACACTAGTAACCATATGACCAGTGGGGAAACTGAGGTCCAAGACAAGAGTGACCTCCTTTACTAACATCGCTCAGATAGCAAGTGACAGGGTAGACCCCATCTTAGGCTCCAAGGCCACAAACCAGCATGGACCTAGACCAGGCCTCGGAGGGCAAGGGTCCCAACTCCTGAGGGTCCTCCAGCCCCTTTTCCAGTTCAGAAAACCTGCCTGAAGGATCAAATGTGTTTGCTCTGTGCTCTGCTTACAGTGGCCACTTTCCAGCTGCTTATCTGCGACCTGTCCAATCCCCAGCTAGCAGCCACAGATTAATGAGCCCTGGAAAATGAGTTAGAATGTAGTAGCTGCGGCCTGGGAGGATGATGATGGCTTTCCAAACACTTAGCCGAAATGACGAAAGAGTGAAAGGGGGCCTTTGCTGAGAAGGATAGAAGTCACTTCCTCTGACAGGTTTCAGGGAAGGTGGCCGCTGCTCAAGGCCAGGCCTGGCCCTTCCCGACCCCCAGGGGGCGCCCTTCCCCCGCCTGCAGCCGGCCCGCGGCGCGCTCACCCTCGCACTCGGCGTCGGCCCAGCGCGTGCACTCGCGCACCTGGCGCTCGGTGTCCTCGCACACGGTGCACGGCAGGCACGGGTCCACGTGGTTGGCCTCGTCGGAATACGTGCCATCGGGACACTCCTCGCACACGGTGTTCTGCTTGTCCTGGCATGAGAACACGAGGCCCGAGCCCGCCTCGCACACGCGGCACGCCTCGCAGCGGCCCGTCGTCTCGTCCTGGTAGTAGCCATAAGCGCAGCGGCACACAGCGTCGTCAGCCTCCACGCAGGGCGCTGACATGCTCTGCAGGCCCACGCACTCGGTACACGGCTTACACGGCTCAGTGGCGCTCACCACGTCTGAGAACGTCACGCCTGCGGGCAAGCGGATGGGGGGGCAGCGGCAGGCCCACACTTTAGCCGCCTGCCTTTAGGGTCGCAGGGGCTTCAGGTCCTCCTGCCCTCCTCCACCCGCGGCCCGGGCACTGACTCCCACGTCCAGCCTCACACCCCCACAGATTCCCACCCTCCACGCTGCGGTGCTGATTCCAGGTCTGTGAAAGCCTGTGGCAGCACACTGGGAAGGAGGAAGAAGATCAGAAGCCCCAGGCTGTGCAGGCCGCGGAAGCCATGGCCCTGAGGCTTGGCAGGGTGACCCCAGCTGGCGCAGGTAAATTTCCCGGCAAATTCTCTTAGAGAGCTCTGAGCCCTGTACCCTTGTTCCCAGCAAGATTAAGGAATAATCGGAGCGTGGTTCCCACCCAGCCCTCCCCGCAGGCCAGAGCTGGGTGGTGAAGCCAGCCCAGGTATGGGGCCTTCCCCAGGGAACCTCCCGCCTCAGCTGCCCTGCCACAGGCTGGGGATCAGATGTGGGAGTAACTGGGAGTAACTGGGAGTAATTGGGTTAGACGGAGTAATTTCCCCCACGGCGCACCAGCCTTGGCTCTTGAGGGTGGGGATGGGAATCCCGGCAAGCAAGTTCAGGTACAGCAGGAAGGATTGAAGCTGGAAAGCAATAAGGACGTGCACATAGCATCCTCTGCCCTTTCAAATGGCACAAAGGGGAGATTTCCAAGCTCAATCTCAACTCCTGCTCTCTTAATTAATGGGTGTGAGCTCCATAATAAGGGGAGGGACGCCAGGGACACGGGGGTCCTCAGTTCCCTGTGAAGAAAAGGGGAGGCACAGAGCAAGTCCCCTTCACCCCTTCCAGCCCAGGGCGGGGAACTCGCGCCAATCTGAAGCCAAGAGGATGCATCCTGGCTCCAAGGGGAGAAAGAGCAGCGATTTAGCAACCTGAGGACCAGGGAAGGTCGGCTCAGAATGCGGAAGCACAGGTAGAGAGAGCAGCATCTCCTTGAAGGGAAATCAAGGCCTGTTGTAGGGTCTGATCTCAAAGTTCTCTAAAGGCACCAAGAGACAAGAGGGAGCAGTGGGTCATCATCTTGGGGGAGGTGGGTGGAGAAGCAAAGACTAGAACCAGACGGAAGTGAAAGGGAAAGAAATTGGGGAAGGAGAGAAGAAAAGACAGTCAGTTCTGGCAGAAGGACCCCTGTGTTTCTCTCCATAGGGAGCAGGCAGATCTGGATTCAGAAAGGCTTCCATCACTAATTAGCTGTGTGACTTTGGATGTTTTACTTAACGTCTCTGAGTTTGTTTGTTTTTTTTCCTTTCTCTGTAAAATAGGGAATACTATCTCCACTCTCAGGGTTATGGTGAGGAGTAAGTGAAATTCCACTGTAAAGCCCTTGACACACAGCAGGGATCCTATAAATGCTGGGCCCCATGGGGTGAGCAATGATAAGTACGGTGAACTTCAGTAGCAGAGATACAGTCAGACAGCAGAAAGGCAGGATTTCCAATTTAAACAAATAAGAGGCTCCTATCTGGTTGGCATGTGGCAGGGGGTTGGGTATAGTCACCCGGGAGGGGAAGGGAGGGCCCTGCTCATGGGAAAATACAGAAAATTAGCAGAAAATTCCTGGGAGAGGGTTTTAGGGGGTGGGAAAAATGTGGTCTTTTTTGGCAGAGAATGAAGGCAGGAGCTTAATGGGTTTCCTTGTGGAAACGTTTTGAGGATAGAGGGAAGGTCCACTGGGGTCTCCATTCCATAAAGTGGGCTTGTAAAGGCGGCCTGTTAATGCAGCTGGTGGGGAGTGGGGGGCGGAGGGAAAAGGAGGGGAACAGACGGAGGAAATGGGAGGGAGGATTCCTGCCACCACCTCGAGCGCGCCGCCCCTCCCCCTCCCCAGAGATGCCAGAGCCTTCCTCTCCCAGGCTCTTCTTCCCCACCCCTTGCTTTGACTGACGGTGAGTGGGGCCCCATCCTGGGAGACTTAGGGTCCAGTGGGGAGAGGCCCCTGGGAAATGGGAGGGGCAACCTTGGGCGGCTGCAGGGTAGGCAGTAGTTGGCCAGTCCTTCCCTGGTATGGAAACCCTGTTAGGCCAGGGCAGGTGGCCAGATGGTGAGGCTTCACAGGATGTCCAGCCTCCCCATGCAGTCCTAGGCATCTCTACGCCGGGGGATGGAGTACAGGATTCATAAACACAGAGACAGGAAAACGGTGTGTTTGGGAGCACCAAGGAGCCGCGGTTGCCTGAAGGGTGGAGACGTGCAGGGGCTGCTGGTGGTGGTGGGAGGCATCCGGAGTAAGACCGGGCTGGCAGGTGGGTTCAGGGTTCCCCGTTCCTGCACCCTCGTTCCCAGAGTGATTATAGACTGGAGTGCGGTTACCACAGGCCCTCCAGACGGGCTTTGAGTGCCAGGTTAGAAGGCAGGATCTGCCTGTTGGCAGCGAGGAAAGGTTTCCGGGCAGGGTCAGGAAAAGAGTACTGAGCCTGTTGCCTGAAGGCAGCAACTGAGGCTGGGGGCAGCCTGTATGGCTGAGGCTCCTGACTCAGAAGCGCACAGAATTGAGACCCCAGCCCCACCGTCCCTCGTCCTACCTCCTGCAGCAGCCCTGAAAGACAGGATTCTCTCCCCTTCCCAAGGAAATCTCAGGTAGGAATGGCCACAGCCCCCCAGCTGACATCGCCCCACCAGAAGGACTTCCTTCCAATACTCCAGGCCCCATCCCTGCTGCCTCTGGAAAGCTCTACTTCCTTAGTTGGAGCTGGAGAGCAGTGGGTCTTGGGGGGAGGGGTGGCCACGCCCTCCCAGGATCCCCCAAGGTCAGTCTCCTGGGCAACCAGGATTTGATCCTCTTGCCCTCCCCCCTCCAAAACACCCGAGGGCAAGTGGCAGCCATTGATTTTGCAGTGCAGATGATATTTTTAGCTTGTGTTAGTATCAGCTACTCTTCCCACCTGGCCACACTCTGCTATCTGGCTTCTCTGCTTGGAGGCTGGGAAGGGGCTCCCCCTCGGGATCCCCCATCAGGTTCCCCTCCTTCCTCTGCATACCTCTCTCACCCATTCTCAGCTTCCCCTCTCTGCCTCCTAGCCTGCATCAGACCCACTTCTGGTGCCCATGCAGTGGTGGGCAGGAGACCCTGCCAGGAAGCAGAGGATTTGTAAGCCTCTCCTGAACATGCTCCTCCCCAGCCCCTGGCTCCCTTCCATTCCTCTCCCCTTTCCCCACCTGCCACCCGTTACTCACTGTCCAGGCAGGGCTCACACACTGTCTGGTTGGCTCCACAAGGCTGGGCCACGCCCTCTCCTAGGTTGCAGGCTTTGCAGCACTCCCCGCTGTGAGTGTACAGGTCTGTGACGCATGCCTCCTTGGCACCTCCGAAGGACACCTGGGTGGTGGGGGCGGGGATCAGAAGGTCAGACTGGCAAGAGAAAGGAGAAGGAGTATCTTCTGAGGGATCAAACACCCCCTCCTAAAGCCTTCTATTGGAACCACCTGGGCCTGGATGAGCTCACCATGGAGGTATTAGGCACATCAAAGCTGGCAGGAAGAAAGGCAGAGGGGGCCAGCGACCCTTGCAGGCTGCTGGGGGTGTGAGGTCAGAGCCTCCCATGCCGACCCTCTGCAAAGTTCATCTTGGGGCTACAGCAACTCTTAGTTTCTCAAGGATGCTCCACATGGGGACAGCAGCTTGAGGCCCCGCAGAGGGCCTTCAGTTAGGGACCTCGTGAACGGTTGGATACGTTGCAGCTTGCCCAGGGCTTCCAGCCAAGGGGGCAACTGGAAGCTGAAGTCCAGTGAAAATGCCGTTTATGAAGGTGCACACCTGCAGGCTGCACCTACACAGATGAGAGCCTTTTCCTAACGAAGGCTAGCAGGGCCCTCTCTATTCCGGGCCCTGAATTCTACTGTTTCGTGTGTTATATATCCAACGGGAGGTATCTGTACCCAAGAACACAAGACAGAGGGGTGTGGGTCGTAGGTTGAAATCCTGACTGCGCTGGGAGCTCTGGCCTTCCCTGCTCTCCCTCTCTGAGCCTCCACCTCTCCACATAGACTGAGAGCTACAGCTCAGGGCCAGAGCAAAGGCCAGCCAACAGGCGAGAGTGTGGCGCCAAGACGTGCGCAAGGGCTGCCTGTTATCAATGATGAGAAAGTGGTGGCTCTCACCACTTTCTCACCAGGGTTTGATTTCCAGCCACCAGCCCCTCCCCCGCCCTGCCCCCCATGCAGCCAGGGGGAGCGGCTCTGGAACCAGAGGAAAGGGGAGTCGGGTTCCTGCCGCCGAGGCATCTTTGCTCATGGATGGAACGATTTAGCACCAGATTCCCAAGAGGGAGGGGCTGCTGGCAGCTTGCTTTATGTTTCTGTTCCTTAAAAAAAAAAAAAAAAAAATTTTCATGTCTAATAAAACTCCCAAGCCTGTTTCCCCAGCCCCAGACCATGCAGCTCCCATTCGGTACTGAGAGGAAGCGTGGGCCCTCAGGTTGGTTGTGGGAGCAGAGGGGAGCGCAGGAGGTCATTTTGGACATTCATCTGCATCCTCATTGACCAGACCACGGCCAAGAACACTCCTTCCCTCCAGTCCTTTTGAGATATCCTGAGATCTCACCAGGGTTAGGTGGAGGCAGGGAGATGGACAGATTGGATCAGACCAAGAGGCAGCCTGTGGTCCTCAAGTGACCAGCAGGAGGGTGCAGGCAGCCTAGAAGGGGGACCTTGGGTGTTGCCACCATCTCCTCCCAGGTGGGAGGAACACAGTGCTGGGAACATGTGCAGACCAGAAGTCTTGGGGGGAGTCCCAGATACAGACTTTCCCCCAATAGGCAAGTGAGATTCCAGAAGGGTCTGTTTGGATTTCTTTTCATCCTTTTAGGGCTCTGCTTAAATATCACTTCCTCAAGGAAGTGGGCCTGTGTCCCCCACCCCTCACAGATCATGCAGAATTACCCCCTCCTATGGTCTCCCAGTTGACTATTTGTGTCCGCTCTGACACTTTACAGGACTCCCTGCTGGACTGTAAAGGGTCGAGGGCCCATCTGTGGCTGACCCAGGGCCTGACATGGTACCTGGCACAAAATAGAGACCTCATAGAACCCCAGGGGACTGGTGTCCCCATAGCTGAGCTTTCCCACACGTCAAAGAGTTGCTGCTCTAATCACCTGATGTTTTTCATTTTAACCATGGAGGCTGCGCCGTTCTCTGACTCAGGAACATATCTTCATGGTTTCCCCATGACTCAGGGACTCACTATTTACACCAGTGATTATTCTGGGCTGCTATGCAGTGAAGCCCTTGTCATCTTTATCCCAAATTACCACACTCTCATCTCTTTGAGCTCTCCTGTCAGCTTTTTAAAATACTTCTTTCTGTCTCTTCCCTGCCCGTCCAGATATCAGTTGTCAATTCTTGCTGCTCCTGGAGCATGACCTGAGTGCCCATCCCACCATTTTAATCATTTAGGTCTTGTCGAATCTCCAGAAACTAGGTAACTAGCCTCAGCGGGAATGTGTATAAAATGAGTGTAGGTAGGATCTGAATGGTGGGGGGGGGGGGGGGGGTATCAATTTTTTGAGTTAAAAGTGTGAGCTATACTGCCTTTGTCCTCAGCGGCCGGCCTCTATGACTCTGAATCCTGGCTCATCACCTAGAGCGAGGTGACCTGGGACCAGTTTTGAATTTCTCTGTGCCTCAGTGTCTTCCTCATTAGGTCATGGCAGTACCTATAGGGTTGCTGTAAGCATTAAATGAATAAGATGTTTATACATGCTGGGAGCCCTCTTTTCTCTTTTCCAAGGTCTCTCTGGCTTCCTTTGTGGCTTTTGGCTGTGTTCCAGTTAGTTAAGGTCAGTAAAGACCCACGCTCCGGTTAGCTGAGGGGCTCTGTCTGCCGTAGATGTGGGTGGAGTGGCAGCCTCCCACAAGCCCCTCTTCTCTGAAGCCTGCTCTCCCTGCTGCAACCTTTCTTCTTTCTTCTTCTTCTCTTCTCCCAAGTCTGGCATTTGGAATCAAGGCCACATACTTTGTGACCTTGTGTTTCCCGTGATTGATTTGTTTCCTATTTCAAAACATTGCAGCTCTCAATGGGTAGTTCAGTTGATTGGACTGTAGTCCCCCAATACGCCAAGGTTGCAGGTTCGATCCCCAGTCACGGCACATAGGAGACTCAACCAATGAAGGCATAAATAAGGGGAACAACAAATTGATGTTTTCCTCTCTCTCTTTCAAGTCAGTAAATAATTTTTTAAAACATTGCAGATCTGATACTTAATAGTATGTTACTTTGGGTGAATTCTCAATCTCTCTGAGCCTCAGTTTTCCCCTCTAAAACACTGGGTGCTAGTATCTACTGCTCAGGGTTGCTGTGAAAATTAAATAGTTTATGCAAATCTCTCTGGTATATAATAGGATAAGTGCCTGGTGTGTACTAGAATAAATGTTAGGTCAAAAAGGCCTCTTGCCTTAGGGAAAGTGAACTGTCAAGCCTGGGGAGGAGGTAGTGGAGGGGGGCAGTTTAGCCATCCCACAAAAGAGGAACCCATCTAAGAGGAGGGTGCAACATAGATATAAAGATGTAGCCACCGGGTAGCTTGAGGAAGGCATGGGGACCAAAGGAGGATGGGTAATTTCTCTCCCTGAAGTTAAGTAATTCAGCAACTGTTTATCAGGCATTATATGAAATCGGAGTTTCTAATGAGACATGGTCCCTGATTTCTGTGGGAAACCAGTCTTGTGAGAGAGAGGAAATGCCACCCCAAACAGCTAGTCCAGAAGACAAGATGCTGCGAGGAAAAGACTTGAGGGAATGCCTTCCTCCCCTCTCTGACAGATGGGGAAACTGAGGCCCACTGAGGTCCCCCTGCTAAGTGGCCTGATGTGTGGCCCCTGCCATACCTCTCTTGGTTCAAGCCAGGGCAGTCTTGGGAAGCCAGGAGGGATGACTAGGATCCAGGCTAATTGCTCCAAAATGGCCAATTTACCAAAATGATAGAAGCAGTTGCCTGAAATTTACATTTATTACACTTACTCATTTCCAATTTGATTGGATGATTTCATCCCACTTTTGAAAATGTTTGCAATCATTTTATTTGTGCCATTTCAAAGCTTTCAAGAAACTAAGTACCCTTAGATAAACTGACTTAATAATCTAAAACATTTTTTTAAAATTAGACAAAATAGAAACCACACCAAAATAGTTGAAAGAATTTGAATATGAATGCTTCAGTGTGATAAATCCTAACGATTCACAACAGCTCCGGCAAAGGGCTCCATAGGTGAATGGAGCCATTAGCGACTGCCATAGTGCTGAAGATTTTTCAAATATGTGGAGGGTCTTTTGAGGTCGCTGCAAACCCAGGGGAGGCACCGGCATATGCCCCCCACCCGCACCCCTTTAGCTAGGGGCTGAGTTTGGGTTAGAAGAGGAAAGCTAATTGCTGAGGACGATGCCACATGAAGACTTTGAGGGAGCGGGGCCTCTGCGTGGAGCCAAGAGACCCAGTTCCAAACTTTGGTACCAAGGTCATAGGACAGGGATGTGATCTCCAGGGCTAGTTAGCGACTCAGGGCCACGCCTCCCTCCGTGCTCCGGAAGGGAGAGGGGGCTGGCGCACGGAAGAAAGAGAAGCTCCGAGCCAAGCATCCTGGATTCCGAGGGCTCCACCCCTTACTTACTGGGGGCGCCTGGTTTTGTGCCTGAAAGTCTGGGAGGTTCAGCTTCCTCAACTGTAAAATGGGAGTAACTAGATTTGCTCTGCTGGGACCTTATAAGGATTAAATAGCGCAAGAGAAATTATCCAGGGCAGCGCATGTCACACAGTAGGCACTCAACCAATTTTATTATTCCCGCCGCCCCACCCCTCGCCCCCAGGGAAGAATCTGTGTGCGCGAGTGGGACCGGGCTGGCACGGCCGGGCGGGGACACGTTCCTTCCCGGAGCCGCCTCCCCCAGCCGGCTGCTTGCGTTCTCCCATTTGCTGCCCTCACTGCATCCCTATTAGGCGCATTAGCCAGCCCCGCGGCTCCGGTTACAGACGTCTGAATGACAAAGTGCCTCCATTACCGGCGCGGCCGGCCAGCGGACCCGCCGGGACGCGCGCTCTGGTTTCAGCACTCTCCCGCTGCGGCCCAGGAAGAACTCGGAGCGCCGCGGTGCGCAGGGCCAGCCCGCAGAGCGCAGCGGCGAGGCGGCGGCGAGAGCCGCAGGGGCCGCGGGCGGCGGATCCTGCGCGGAGTCCGCCTCCCTCAGCCCCCAGGCCCTCCACGCCGAGCTCTCCTTCCTCGCCTCTTCTCCACTGGGGAGACACTCCCTCCAGCCCCGGTCCGAAGCCCACCCCCTCGCCCCTCGGGGATCTACACTACTGTCCGCCCCGGTCCCACCTCCCGGTTCCTCTTCCCGGCGGGGAAGCATTTCTAACACGCGCAGTTAGCAGACGTGCGCGAACAGTCACTCCCAAATCCCTGGAGAAAGCCATAGGTATGGACAGATCCAGGGAACCTGTCTGAGCTTCGGAATGGGGGCCAGCGCCCGGAGAGGGCCTCTACTCACCCAGCCTCCGTATTACACCACTGGCCTAATTTGGGATGTTGTCAAACCCACCCCGCCGAGAAATGCGGCTCTTACTCGGAGCTGGGACGCCGGGCTGCCCCCCTTAAAAGGTACGGGCAATGCTCAGCTGGGAATCAGGTGAGGGGCAGTCCAGCTAGGACTCTGGCTCAACTTGCGCGTGGGATCTAAGCTAAGTTGTTTCAAGTCTCAGAGCCTCAGTCTCCACGTCTGAAAAACGGGGATCTGGGAGCGCGATGCTCCCAGATGAATGAAGGTGGCAGGTCGACTGAGGACACCTCCTTTGCTAAACCTTCCAGAGCACTGCGTTCATGGTCCCACACCAGGTCACAAATCTTGATTATCTAGCCAGAAGTACCTGGCGGACTTAGATGTTTAGGATGACCCGCAGTCCTTTACCCAGTCAGAATCTGAGCTCAGCGTCCTCATCCGAAAGTTGGGCGGGGCGCGGGCGGAATCCCCACGGATCTGGTCGCTGGAGCGGAGAGAACAGCGGGCGCTGCTGTGTCCGGGTCACTTAACTTAATGGGGGGCGGACGCGCAGCCCCAGTGGCGCCCGCAGCTGCGGAGGGCACTACCCTCACGCCGCAGCGCCCCCTGTGGGTCGCCATCGCCGGCGCGACCCTGTGCTGCACGCGAGCCCAGAGCTTCCCAGCCTGACGCGTCCGGCGCTCTGCACCCCGAGACTTGGCGGCGGCCGGATCCGGTCAGACAACGCCCACTCCATCCCTTCCTGTCCGCTGTGCCGCTTCAAAGCGCAAGACTAAGCGCTTCGGAGCAGCCCGTGAGTCGAGGGGGAATCAGGGGAACGGGTTCGCCCCGGCAAAGTGGGCGCTCCCTTCCCAACCTCGGATCCCCAGCGCAATTCCCCGCCTGGGCCAGGCCGCGAGAAAGAGCGTGCGACAGGAGCGGGAAACCTCCGTTCCTCTGCTCTCTCTTCTGGACTCTGTCCCTCGGCGGGCCCGCGGGGCCCCAACCACCTTAGGGCGGTCCGCTCTTCCTTCTCCGTCCTCTTTCATTTTGCTTCCATCTCTCTACCTCCCTCGCCGCCGTCCCTTTTCAACCCTCCGCAACCCACTTTCTGTCTCGTCAGAACCGACGACCCCCACTCCCCGAAGCGCTCCCTCCCACGCCCCTCCCCCCCATTGTCTGGCCAGTCCTCATTGTCCGATGCCGGGTCCCCTCTGTCGCTTCGGCCTCCTCCCCCATTGTTCCATCCCCTCGTCTCCAGCCCCGCTCCCCTCTCACATCTCTAGTCCCCGTCCCATTCTTCATCCTTCCCTAGCCTGGGGTCCCATCCCACGACCCTTCAGAAATCAAGAAGCTCAGCGGGAAAGTCGCCTGGAGATCCCAGCATTAAAGCGCCCTCTTCCAAAGAGCCCAGGCATCCAAGGGCTCCAGGACCTCCTCCTCAGAGACCCTTCCCGGCTTCTCCACACACACGCCCATGTACCTGAGCACCCGCCTCCGTGCGCACCTCCGGCCCGCATCTCTGTCCTGGATCCCAGGGTCTCCTCCGCGCCCTGAGAACCCTAGACGCTCCTCCGCGGATCCTGGCACCAGAGCTCCTCTCCCGCTATCCAGCCCCAGCACCGGGGACCCCAACGCTCTGTACTGTTTTCCCTCGGGGAAACCTGAACCCACCGGGACTCCGGTCCCGGGTAAGGGAGTGGGCTCCCCTCGGGCGACACTCACCCCCAGGAGAAGCAGCAGCAGCAGCGGCGGCAGCAGGCGCGGCCGGTCCATGGCGCAGCCCGCAGCACCTGCCCGCATCGTCCGCCTCCCGAGGCAGCGCCCGGCTTCCAGTTAGTCCGCTCCGCAGACGGATAGGGCTGTGATGCGCTCCGGCACCCGCCCCCCGGAGCTGGCCGAGGCTCCGCTCCCTTTGGCTGCGGGCGGGAGGGGCTGGGAGAAGCCAGTGCGGCGGCCCCGCCTCCTCCCCGCCCAGCCCGCCCACCCCCGGAACCGCGCCCGCCCTCCCCGCTGCCTCAGGGAGGGGAGAGAGGGGAAGGGAGGGTGCGCGGGGAGACGCGTCCGCGTGCCCCTCTGCAGTTTCTCCGCGCCCCGGCCCTCAGAGCCTCTCCACTACCTCGCCCCGGTACCCAGAGCGCCCGGCCCGCGCTAGGGCGCATCTGTCCCGGATGCTGTGGGCCCCGGACCAGGGCGGCGCCGGCTCCCCTCAGGCTGCGCTTACCCGCAGGATCCGCCCTTACCCATCTTCCTCTGCCATCCGTCCCCGGCATCTGGCTTCAGCTTCTCCTCTGGTGCTCGGCTCCTGCCCAGCCTTTATCAGCAAGATGCCCACTGCCCGCCCTGCCTGTCATCTTCTGGTCCATCTCCTACCCCTACCTCTGCCCCTTCCCAGTGCAAAGGCCTAGGGAGAGGGGCAGAGAGGAGTAGCGGATGGCCTGACCATGGAACATTCAAGGTGAGGTCCATCCCAATATCACCTGAATTCTCAAAAGGTGGGTTTGAAGGGGTCGCAAGTACGCAGGCAAAACACAGGAATACACACACTCTCAGCTCACAAATATGTACTTATGTACCACATATGCCCACACCATCCTCATGCATTGATGTGGACCTGCCCATTCTACACATGTTTGTGCAGCTCCACACTCAAGCACACATGCACGCTCATTACACATGCGGCCATAACAAACACATACCTACACATTCACACACATATACATACATGTACTTGTCACCTCCACACAAGCCCTCACAAGCAGTCTCTTGCACAAGTGCACACACACATTCATGAACACACACACTTAACACCCATACACACACAGATGTATTCTCAACAATATACCTCCTCTAGACTATTTCCATTAGCTTATGAGTTTCCTGCAGGAAGGGTCTATGGTTTCTTATCTGAATGCCTGGTACCCAATAGGTGTTCAGAAAGGTCTGTAGAAAGGAATAAATGGAAAAGTGGTTGGATGGACTCACATCCAAAGACCCATCCATGTGCCAGGCAATCATTCCGCACTCACTGTGCGCCAGAAATCTTGGCAGGTCCAAGTCACAGGCCCAGCAATCAGGGAGTGTGCCCGCAGTCTTTTGGTGGGAAGAACTCCCCCGCCACAACACACACAACTTGATGCTCACCATTGCCTGTACCCACTCTTTCCTGGTTCCCAGACATGAAGGCCCTGCAGCACAGAGCTGTGGGAGGCACGTCTACAAAAGCCATGCCAGCACCCTGATCTTGGCCATGCATGGACCTCATTTTCGACTTTGAAAAAAATAGCACTTATCTCCCACATCACAGGAAGGAGAGATCAGTGCAATTGTGAAGAGGATGTGCGTGCAGTTGGTAGGTGATTTCCTAGATCAGCTGAAGCTGATTCATTCATTCATGGGGAGAAATTTTTGCCCCGTGAATTTCCTGTGCAACCGACAAACTCCAGGGGGAGAGCTGCAGGGAGGACACAATAGACAACGCTGGGCATGAATGTGGATGAGCCACCCCCAGGATGGCTGGGCATAAGCCGGCAGCTCCCCGTCTTTAGAAATCACTGAGGAGTCCCGCCTCTGGGACAGGGAGCACCTCTGAGCTGTCTCCTTCTCCACTGCTTTTATGGGCCTGCCTTTCCTTTCAGCTGAATTCATGGAAGGCAGGAAGGGGCAACATTAGTACTAACAGCAACACTGAACTGCTTACTACCACCAAGAGTATCCACAGTGTGGCATTAATTTAAATACTCCTGTTATTAATTTATGATCCCAGTTACTATTATTGCCAAGGTTACCCATCTCAACACATTTTAATATGACCCACACTACCATGGCTGGGCCTGGGTTATTAATAATTTCCATGGTCTTGATCATTTAAGCCTTACTCGAACAATTACAAACAGCAATTGTTACTATTATTAGCAGTATTTCTATGATGAAGCCCACACACGGACCCTGATGAAGCGCCGCTGACCGCACAGAGAGGAGCTCCGCGAAGTTTGGAGAGGACAGGGCCCTGAACTGAGAGTCGGGCAGATCTGGCTATAAATAGCTCCGCGGACCGCCCCACCCCCACGGGGCTCACTCTCGGGTGGTCTTAAGCAGGTTAAGTCATCCCTCTCTGCCTCAGTGTCCTCATCTATAAAATGGGAATTTTTTAAAAGTCCCCACCTTGAACGGGCACAGTGAAGAGCAAATAAGGTAACAGTGCTCCTCACAAGGAGAGACCCCGCCCCCTTTTACTTGCCCAACACAGCTGTGTTGAGCGAGTCCTCTATGCCACCCACCATTCCAGGCACTGGGGGTGCAGCAGGGAACAACAGCAGCTGCCCTCGTGAAGCTGATGTCCTAGGGCGCTAGGTGTTTGATGCGAAGGATTATTTTACCATGTGACCCCTTGGCTTGGCCATATTGTGGACCGCACAGCCGCGGTCGGGATGTACCTTTGCTGGGACGGCCACCATGACCACGATCACCACCACTGTCACCATCATAGCCACATATACGAAAACCAGCACCACTGTGGCCACCAGCATCATGACACCCGCATCACCGCCAGAGCCACCACGGCCAACGCCGCCATTACCCCAGGCCCACAGTCATCTCCATCACCACCGCGACTGCCGCACCGCCGTCACCGGCATCCGCATCCTCGCCACAGCAGCAGGGCCCGGGCTCCCGAGGTGCCCAGGACTCGGGTCCGACCCTTGTCCTTGGAACAATGTCAGGGGCCCTGTGAAGTCACTGCCTGCCCGATCCTAACGCCATAATGGTTGCGACTCCTGACTCCTGGCCTCAAACATGAGTGTCCTTCAAAAACTGCTCTCTGACCGAGCCACTTCGCCCCCCGATCCTCAGCACTGGCAGCCCCCACTCTAGGACGGGCATGGGCGTGGGCTCAGGAGCTGGCTGCAAGTGGGAGCAGAAAGGCAGGGGCAAGGAGGCAGCCATTTTCATGGGAGGGTCCCCTAGAACCATCTCCCAGGTCCCCCAGAACAACAGAGTTGCACATATAGACTGGGGCTTCCTGGACCTAATAGTGACTCTACGGTGAACGGGTGGAGAAAATCATTGCAGTTCCACGTGGAGCTGGGAGTGGGAGCGGCGAGTCACGTTGCATTGTCAGGAGTTGAAATGGGTTTGCACGTGCCCTGTTCATTCCACCCCCGCTGCCGTCACCCTGCCCCTTCAGGAAGGCAAGCTCCTAACTCACACTCCCTGTTCTCCCGTTCCATGGGGACCCCTCACTTCAGGCCCTCTGAAGAACCCTGCTCACAGCTCCCCGTGTCCATCCCTAGGGAACCAGCCTGCAGCCCCAGCCCGCTTCTGGACAGAAATGAAAACCCCCATTTATTGAGACGGCCTAAGGGCCAGGCGATTCACACAATTCTCTCCTTGGATCCCCACTTCCATGAAGAAAGTCCTGGGATCCCCATTTTACAGATGAAAAGACCGAGGAGCGAAGAAGTTAAGCTACTTGCCCAAGGATCCCTGGAAAGAAGCAGTGGTACCTTAACTGGCCACTGTATTGTGCAGGGTCCCCCATGGTGACACTTCTCCATGTTAACCCCCGAGTCCAGGTCACCCCTCCTCTTCATCCCAGCCCCTCCGGTCTGCGCTACGGTGAGTTGGGGAGACAGCACCAACGCACCCGAGGGACTGCGCTCTGCTCTCCAGGGCTACCACTCAGGTGCCCTGCTGACACGCATCAGAGAGTCTGGGCTTGGGGGGGCTTGGGGGGCCTAGGGAGGACAGGCAGAGGCAAGCCAGGGGATGATCCCTGCCTGGCCTACAGGAATGAGTTAGGGGATGTGTACCCCAGAGGTGAGGGCAGAGGCTGGATCAAAGGTGTGATTTCTAAGCTCTCTCAGTGAACGCTCACTTTTCCTGCTTTGGGAGAATCGGCTCCCCTACCCCCAGTTCCATGTCCAACCAGAGGAAGGGTGAAAGGAGATGGGCAAGGAGACAACAACTTCTGAGAGGAGGGGGGCGGGGGCGGGGTCCTGGGCCTTCCCCAGCTGCATCCCATCTGCCCCGGGCAGGCGGCCAGGCAAGGTAAGTGAAACCTGCTGCCCCCCATTAGGAGCTGGCTCGGTGGCTTTGAAGCGTGATGCAGTGATTACCTCGGAGCTGACTCTTTCTGGGCCACAAGGGGGGCCTGACCAATAAGGGGACAGGGCGGGGCCCAGGGACTGGTTTGGAGTCAATGCGGTTTGATTCTGGAGCTGCCCTAGTAGTGAGAGGGGTGGGAGGAATTAGTCAATTTTGGAGTCCAGTTAGATTAACTGGAGCATCAAAGTGGGCCAGTTGCACAGTGCCCCCGCCCCCTCCGCCTGCTCCAGCCTGAGGCCAGGCTCCCTTCCAGCCTCCACCCCGTCCTGCAAGGGGCCTGTCTGACCTACATTCATCAGCCTTCCCACCTCCAAGCCCGTCCATGGGTTACACTCCCATGAGAGTTGTCTTCCCTCTTCCTTTGACATAACAGTAGAATTGGTCAAAGGCTTCCATCTTCTCATTTGCAGTCTTTTCTCTTCCTTCAAAGGCTGGCCTCCCTCCCACCTGTGCGCCATTCTGTACCCATACCTCTTGCCAAGGAATCACAAGAGCCAATCAAGTCATTCACGTAGGCAGTAGGGAGTTCATTTCCCCAGATTTTGTGTCTTGGAGAAGGGGTGTCCAGAGAGGGCCATGCTATACCCAAGTGCTTGAATGGAGAGTTTTAGGCCTGGTGGTAAGGGTACAAGGGGAGAGATTAAGGGTACACTCACCATGCCTCAGGGCACCCACCTTCCTTGCTGACTTGAGGGGCCATCCCTCCCCGGCCTTTTGATCCAGCCTCTGCCCTCATCTCTGTGGTGCACGTCCCCTCAGGTGGCCTT